TTTGTGTTTGTTTTTAGCAGATCGTAGGTGGCATTTCGAAGAGGCAACGTCGGAGTTACCACATCCAGCCACTCAGAACTCCTGAAGCAGCTGTCACATTAATTCACAAGGATCCACCTCCAAGAGATTTACAGCATTCCTTGCGAAGTGGAGACCACACCACGAAACCAGGCCGGCGCGAGGGGACAGGGAACGGCCAGAGAGAAGCACTTAAAGAGCCTCATTCGACACAGTGTACCCGAACGTGCACCGACGTAACACTAAGAGGGAAGTATTGTCTAAAGAGGTATCGAAAAAATATATATTGCCTTTAAAATCAACATAATATCAGAACCTTCCTTACGATGAATTATTTAATGATTTTTTACAAGTTATTGTGCTCGGCCATTGGCGACACGAAATGGAAATCACAAGAAACGTATAATAATTAGGAATTTCAAATCCGTCGTTTCTTATAGCGTTGTTTATTTAATGGAATTTTCTGCTTGAAATAGATACTCTAAAACCGGAAGTAAGGAAGCATCCTAAGCTTTCACGGCCGGAGTCAACAGAAGAGACATTTTCCGGGCAGGTGGGCCGCGATCTAGTTGTTATTCAATGCCAACTGGACCACGGCCTACCAACTCGGAAAATTTCTCTTGCATAGGACATGTTTCTGGAAGCACAACCTACGCAGATTTCTCGTAGCACATGCAGTTTTACGTTTGCGAAATTTTGTTTTCTCGATTTTTGCCAGCCATTATAACTATGTGAAGTCAAACATTATGTTTTAGAAACATTCTATTTCCCAGGCGAAGCTCCCGCTGGGGATTCCCCGCTCCCGCACCTGACACTCGCGCACGCACGCACTCGCACGCACGCACCTTCACCTTCACGCACCGAGAGACCGACCGCACGCACAAGCGCCGCCGCCGCACTGAGCGGCGCGGTCCTCGGGCGCGTATTTTGGGCGGAGTCGAGAGGCGCGCAGCGTCGCCCGGGGCGGGGCGGAAGGAGAGGAGCGGGTCAGAATAGGAGGGGTGAGGACGGCGGGGACGGAGCGTGGCAGGGCGAGGTGGGCGAGGGCTAGGCGAGGAGGAGTGCGGCGGGCCAGAGCGGAAGGAGGGAAGCGGGCTCGGGAGGGATGGACCAGGACGGGCAGGGAGGGACAGGACCTCGTGGGCGGGGCGCGGCGGGGAAAGAAGAAGGGGAAGGAGAGAAGCGGGACAGGG